TACTGGTGTGCTATTCCTTTGTTTGATCAAACATGTCCTACGTAGTTGGTGTTCATTGGCTTGCAGAACGGAATATATGCTTTTCTCTTCTCCCTAAGGCTCCGAGTCGACTCCTGGTCGGTAGTCAAGTGAGGTCAGGTGAAATGACCATCTTTTACAGTTAAACCTTTCGTGTGACTGCCAAACTAGTAACCACCGCCCCCTGAAAATCCCATGATAGTCACCATTTGTCACCATCGTGTGGCTTTGGCAAAGTGAGGGTGGCATGCACAGCATGCACCTCACTCTCCTCCGTAACTTCTCGTTTCACCATGCTCGAACAAGGCCAAAGGGACAGAAGCTTATTAGGATTCATTCTATTCTCACCCTCATTCTGCTCCCATAATTGGCGCTAACCTAACTTCACTCACCAGGTTCTCATATTGGTGTGAGTTGCGCGATCATGTCACGTGGAGTAGCCATTGTGGTCCGAGGCCTGAGTTGCCTCACCAGTTAGTATTCTTTCAAGTCACTTCTTTAAGGTTACCTTGATAGTTGGAAAGGGCCTTTGCTTTATCTTAATGGCTGAAAACCCCCCACAGAATCCACCTTTCTCTCTCTCTCTCTCTCTCTCTCTCTCTCTCTCTCCTTTTCTCTTTCTGCCCTTCATCAGTTTATGCCAAGAGCTGTTTTGTCCGACATGACATGGATGAGCTTGCGGGTAGTGGTTGGTGTGACAGAAAACCCCGTATCACATTCCATGCACCTGATTGGTGCAAATTTACGTCTGGCCCAATAGGCCCACTATTCGGAAGGCATAGTTTACTAATTCGCGCCCTCACAGTGCTGGAACATTTGCCTATGCGTGATTATATTTTCAAATGTCCTTTGCATGTTATTTCAATCAGATTCTGGCTGATCGTGTGCCCGGAGGTGACTACAACCGTACAAGTCGCGATGCGTCTCTACGATGAGGTTGCTTCGGTACCCTACATGGGCAAATTCATTGTTTTTGCCAAGCGGCCGGAAGTTGACGAGGCTCTGATTCGCTGCTTCTGCATTACTGACGACAAGGTCGACAAGGTGAGTCTGCGTGCATGCGTGCGTACGTCTGGTTATGTTGTCTCCCCCCCTTCTTCCTCCTGAGCTAAAATGCTCCGGGAGATACTGCGCGATTCACACTTGTCCGTAGCTGAAAACTAAAACACAGTACGGCAGCCAGAACAAACTAAATAATTCAGCTTAATTTACAACAATGCAATGAAAGACAACGAATTTTCATTCCTTACAGCGCCATAGCACTCTTTGTTCACTGTTTCACAACCTGATACTGAAGACGAAACCAAGGTCAAATCAAAACGGTCGTACCAACGGTTATATTCGGCGCTTTAAGAGGTACGGATAACACTCGAACTTCGTTTTCTTCCACATAATAAAGGAAAATTTGCTTTCTTATGAAAGCTCTTAAATGAAGCGAGGCTAAACCTGAGAAAATAATTTTTCTTTAGAAACTCGTATTGTTTTTCGACTATCCAGGAACAGAATTCTTTCAAGTCTTTATTTAAGGAATACTTGAAAGGTTTTATTTTTTCTTTATTGAGATATCTGTAAGCAAACCTATACGACGCCGTGTAGTGCAGTTTCTTGTTGGTTTGTGTCATCATTCCCTTCCACGAAATGTTCCACTCTTTCATGATTTCCGCGGAAGACCCTCCGAATCGCGGCTTAATGGATATTTCTAGTATGTTGCGGTCAAGGATGAAAGATCTACTATAACCACAAACACTAAGAATGTTACGTCTAATGGAAGAAGGCAATCGGATATTGGGATCGTTTTACTGGGCACACAAGGCAAGTTGCCGTGGCTTGACCGTTGTGTACGGATTCTTCATTGTTCGTGTTAGCACGCGGGAGTGCGTGTTTGGTGTATGATTGGTCAGGTCAAAAGGGACAGTCAGGGGGACATAAGCATAAGAGACCATGGGCAGTCTGGCCGATGTGCGTAAGATGCGCGTTGTCTGCTGAGGTCACCTTTGGGGGGGGG